TTGCCTGGGTCTTCTGTTCTTGTTCTCGAAGGGCTCGCAGGGCCTCAGATGTCACTCTTTCGGCCTCGAGACTAGCAGCTTCAACTTAATTGCGGCGCTCCTGATTTTATCGCGCTGCTTGTTCTCGGGTTTCTTTCTCTCCTTCCCTCCTCGCAGCATCAGTCTTCTCTCTGCATTCAGCTTTCTCTCTTTCGGCCTTAGGCTCAGAGTCCGACGCCAGTTATTCAGCTGTGCTGTGGATTATCATTCAATCTCCTCTTGAACTAGGTGCGCGTGTGCTTCGTCTGTAGCGCCTGCTACGTTGGCCTCAGCATGCTGTATTACTTTCTGCGCGTTTTCAACAATTCTAGTTTTCTCATGCTCCATCTTTTGTGTCATTCCTTGTCTCTCAGCCTCGGAAACCGCAGGCCGTCGTTGAGCCTCTTCGGCAGCCTCCTTCTTTTCATGCGCCTCAGATATGATCTGTTGCACATGCGCACTCGCAGCCTTCAGCTGTTCCCGATCCTGTCTGTTTCTTTCCGCCCACTCTTGAATCGCAGTATGATGGAAACTGTGCTCTTCCATCGTGATGCACTCTTCACAAAGCCATGCTAGACTACATTTGGGGCAAACATTCGAACACTGAGAACACGCTGGGCTTCGACATGAAGCCCCCGGTTTATGCGCTTTCCCCGGGAATCGATTCTCCGCCTGAGTGGGGCACGTTGGCCCGGCGTTCCAGCAGCCCTCCTGCATCGAGAAGCTGCTGGTGTTTCAATTTGATGACATTCGCGGCGAATCAAAGGCATTAAACCCTCTGGAACTGGAACGCCCGGCCCTGGGGGCCTTACTGGAGCGTCCCCTTTCGCTGCTGGGAGTAGGCGTGTGTTGTTCTCTCGTTCTTACGCCTCCCTTGATGGTGTCAACGTCCATGCTCCTTGCTAAGTCGTCTCTTTCGTCCTGCATTACGAGCTCATCAAGTTCTGGTACTCTATCTCTGTTTGTCCTGGGCAATGGGAAATCTGGTCTGTAAAAGCCCTGCAGTAAGGGCGAGGTATTCAAATCACCGTCTTCACCCTTCGGTTTCTTCATTAGCGGATGGGGAGTCATGCCTATATTTTTCGCGTATTTCTAACTGCGCGCACTGCGTCGGGGTAGCTCGACACCGGCTGTGCCGATGAGCGTCCACCTTGGTTTGGGCTCTCTCCGTCTTCGAGGTCATCGTCCGAATCAAGGATGGCTTTCTGACTTGCCTCAATCGTTATACGGTCAGGGGCGAGACCGACACACCGGTCAGGGAGAGGATCGAGATGGCGCGACGGACCAGGCGAGGTGTGGAATCGGGCATAATCTTCGTTCTTTTCTACCGAATGGGAACTATCCCCTTCAGATTGTAAATTGCTCACATCCTTACTCTGTCCATACAACGTATACTGCGCCGCATGTTCGGCGCCTAGGCTTTCGCCGCCTGACGTTCCGATGGGGATGTGACCCAACGACTTTTCCATTTCGAGATCTATGTCGATCGATGGCCGAAAGCCAAGGTGTACCGACACCAACTCAGAGGGTCCCTCGGCGGAAGTTTTGACTGTGCCATACCTACCGTTAGAGTGTTGTTCTCTGGACCTTGTCCATGGGTCAACCGATGAATCCCCGAACACAATCTCTGGTGCTTCCTTTCTGGGAAGGTTAAGAAGGTTGTGTCGCCTCGTTGAGGCGCCTATACTTGTGTTACGCTCGGAAAGTCTTCGATCTTCTGTTTGCCCGAGCGTTCCTTCTTGCGACCCCATGCTCTGCGAAGCGAACGGCTGTGCCGTCGTTCCGGCTGATAACCAATATTTTGCCTGGGTATCCCTGCAATATGTTCGGGTGATATATCATGGTCAGTGGGCTCCGCATATGACATGGGTAAGAAGGGATAGTGCCGTCAAACATACACTAAGGTAACACTGAAGGGAGGAGGCTGTCCTGCCGGCCGACGCACGCGCGCGCGTCGCGGGCTCGCTCCTTTTCCGTTTCCCCAGGGCCAAAGTAGTATAGCTGCGGGAGCAGAAGTAGTCAGTCACTACAGCAGGCGGACAGCGCGCGCAAGGAAAGAGAGCAGGCAGGGCGAAATATTGGTGGTGCGGGAGGGGTGCATTGACTGGCTGGGGAGGACGGGGAGAAGGGATGGACGAAGGGCGGGGAGCGCTCGTTCTGTCCGTCATTCCGATTCGACCCTGGCAGACGCGCCATCCGTCGACAATGACGCATATATCCGCGGCGGCGATGCCGACGAAAACGCCGACCACAGCGACGAGGACGGCGACTACCAATGTCCGGCATAATCACTAGCTGCAGGCATGCCTAAACCGCTCAATGTCGATCCCTCAGTGCACATACCCCCTGGCGAAGGAAAGAAACGCGGCAAATCAACGTTGATCGGGGGGAGGAGGGGGAGGAGCATTACGGGTCGCGTGTTGGCTACCATAGCCGGCACATGTTATCCGCGACCCTGCCAGCGGCACGCTGGGGAGCAGTAGAATGTTTCTCTGCTGTCTGGTCGAGTTTCTACATAGTTTTCGGGCCGATCTCTCCCCTCGACGCGCGCGTTTTTTCCGAACACCACCCCCCGTCCTTTCCTTCCCAACGCTGTTTTCGACCCGCTCTATGAGAGCCGAGTATCGTTACAACGCGGCTACAAAAGGCCCCAAAACTGTCCAAAGACGGTCCAACCCGATACGGCCCAAAATGGCTCCAAGACGGTCCGAGATGACATCAGGACGGCCTCAGAGGTCCTTATGGCGCTCCTGCATGCCTCTAAGAGGCCGCCAAATCCGCCACCGTGCCTGTGGCACGTTGAGGTGTGGAAGAATGCCAAGGGCTTCCTGGCAGGTTTCTGTAGTCTTCTAAGGGGCCACCCACTTTTCGTTCAGCAGGCGACTGCACCACCCCTACTACCAGGGGGGCCCTGAGCGGCCAAGGCGCCCCCCTGCAGCTCCCCAAAGCGTCCATGACGGCACAAGAGGCCCCCAAGACGATCCAAGAGGGCCCCGAGTCGCCGAACGATTGCTCGAAAACGCCCAAGATTGTCCCAAGACAGCCAAAGAGGCTTCCAAGACGCCCCGAGAGGCCTCCAAGAGGCCTCCCGAAAGGCCTCCAAGAGGCACACATCCTTGATGTTCCTGAAATGTTTGGAAGATTTCGGCGTTCCCGCCTTTCCGGCGCTCCAAGACGGCCCAAGATGCCCTCCAACAGCAAGCAGCATGTATTACCATCCGCTTTTTTATCTGAACATGTTTACCATACTCGTTTTTCTTTGATTTTTTTGGTTTTGTGTTTTTTTCCCCCCCTTCCGGGGTCTGGACCGCAGACGGCACAACAAGCTCTCAATAGAGCCACAAAACTGCCGAAGAGAGCCTCAACACTGCCCGAGAAGGCCACAAGCCGGCCCAAGAAGCCCACAAGAGGGTGAACTCGAACTGGCCTCTGGGGCTTGTCCCTTCAATCTCGCATCCAAGCCTCCCTACATGATCCCGAGTCCCCCAGAGGCCCCAAAAATGCATCTGAGGAGTCTCAACAAGCCACCAAAAAGCCCCCAGAGGCCTCCAAGAAGCTCCCAATATGCGTTCAAGATGCCAGAGGCAGGAGTGGAAAGAGGAGAGGAGACTGGGCAGGAGGAGGGGCAGGAACGAGGTGGAAGGAAGAGGAGAACGAGGCTGCAGAGAAAGAAGGGGTGTTCAACATCCACACCAATTCAGACGTGACACTGCTCTAGAACGGGTCTTCAATTTGACCCTATCCTAATCCGTCCTTCTCCCCTCCTCCTGCTGTAATGCATCGACGCCGTCCCTCTCATTCTCGTGGTCTCATTGGAGGTGCGGGGGGGTACACATTCCGGAGAGGAAAATGAAAGGGAGGTCGAATTCAGACTGTGCTCCAGCTAGCATCGTGCGCCAGATCAGATAGTACACTGAACTAGAGAGGGTCTTGAACTCTACCTCCTCCTGCCACCATCCATCGTTGTTTTGTTTCTCATCCTTCTCATCCTCTTCGGCCTCTTGTCGTTCCCTCGCTGGGCAGGTGGCACGCGATCGGGGGAGGAAAGAGAGAAGGAGGCGGAAATGACAACCCACGCCGATCCATATTCAGGGAGCCGATTGGGGGAGGAGAAAGAGTCGTGATAATGATAATGTTAAGTTGCAGACAGCAGCCTTCGGACAGAAGACGATACAGCAGACAGCGCGTTGAACTGGAAATGATCTCGAACTCAACCTCGTTCCTACTACACTGCTGCGCCGGCGCGGTGGCAGGGCCTGCGGCAGGCATCTGGATACCCGCAACGCCTGTGCGTTTTCAAACAGTTATTACTGTTCTTTCCATCGGAAGACAGGGAGGGAATAAACTGAGAGAGGAGAGGAGAGAACGAGGAATGACGATGACACAGAGGAGACAGAGAGGAAGACAACATACCCTTGAGAAAGGAAGGGCGATGCCAGTGCCATTTGCCAAGTCGCAGTACGAGGCAACCGCGTTAACATCTTGTCTCTGGCGCGTGCCGTGCCCTAAAACAGCGTTTCCGTCGCAGGCTAGAGCCCAACTTCCAAACGTTACGAGTGCTAGCGATGAGTCTCCGTAGGATCTCGATCACACTCTGATCCGATGCTCCTGAGTACTGGGGTGAACCGTGGTATGTCGCCGTCGCAAGCCCAATACAAAACCACACCCCACATCTGACTGATAGAAAAGGCGGCATGTGGAACGCAGGCCCCGCGGCACAATGAAACATGTTCATCCGCAAGCATATTGCATGCAGTATTATAGACCTACTCTACGGGCGAAAGGCCAGCGGTAATCTGCAAAGCTGCGCGACAGAGCAGGAATCAAAAATGATGAGGAAGGAGAAGGGGTGACGCCAAGCGTCCAGAAGAAGAAGAAGGATACTCAGGAGGGGGAGTGCACGTACCCAAAGAGGGAGAGACGAGGGCAAGCGGGCAAGACGCGAGACGAGGGCAAAAGGTCTGCTCGCGTCCCGCCGCGGCTCAGCCTACTCCCAGAGCAGTGCATTTGGCGGCGCTCTTCGCCCTGGCCACGTGCATGCTGCGGGGAGCATGTGGCCATGCATTAGGAGCGGAATAAATTGTGATGATCATGTTGGAAAGCGGGAAAAGCAGGGATGGGTGGCAGTGAAGACAGGACGGAGAGGGGTGGGGTGAGCCAGACGGAAAGCTCAATGCTACATTTGCGGGTGGCCTCAGGGGCCTCATGAGCAGCGGCAGCCACTCCAGGCGGCAGAATATCGCGTGCAGCATCATGCAGAGCTTCTTCGGGTTGTGCGGGATGGGTAGCGCCAGCCAATCCGTGCCATTCCTTGCGCTCGTAGTCCCAGCAGGTTCCCCACTCGTGGTCGTCATCACAAGCAGCTGCGGGTAGAGGGGCTTCGTGTGAACATCGTGCGACAGCAGCGGCAGCACCAGCGGCAACATCATGCACTCGAGCGCCCCGTGGCGCTTCAGGATGAGGCTCAGCAGCTCGGCGCGCCAGTTCATCTACACGGCAAGCGAGAGTCGTACCGCAGCAGTGTAGCTGCAGAAGGTCCGAGCGTCGAAGGAACGGCATGCGAGGAGCTGCCCAGTCATGCTGGGCTCCATCGGGAAGGACAGCGGCAGCAACAGGGGCGTCGTCAGCGTCATCGTGCACTTGTTCGCCACCATGGGCAGCACCTGCCTATTCAACATGTAGGGATCGGGCGCCACGCGCGGCAGCATCATAATCGACAGGTCGAGTGCCAGGAACAACTGCGAGAACAGGCCGTTCGGCACCAGCGTCAGCGACATCGTGCCCTGGTACACCACCAGAGGCAGCATCGGCATGTACATCGTGTAGGGGTCAAGCGCCGCGCGCGGCAGCATCAGGATCGGCAGGGCGATGGACAGGATGTGCTGCGAGAACAGGTTGTTCGCCGCGCACGGCGGCGTCGTCGTGGACTGGTTCACCACCAGCGGCAGCATCATCATGTGCAGCGGAATCCTCGACGGTCTGGTCGCACTCCGAGAACAAGCAGGTGCCGAACGCACGGTCGAACCACGCGTCGCCGAAGCAGCGGATGAACGGCCTGTTCTGGAGCAGCGTCTTGCGCCGTGCGGCCCGATGCCATTCGCGGACGAGGGGGCGGAGAGCAGCGAGGGCATCGCCAGCATCACGAAGACGGGCGCCACCAGCGGCAGCGGCACGCATGACAGGTACATCACGAAGACGGGCGCTACCAGCGGCAGCGGCATGCACAAAGGGCCGAAGAGCATCGAAAGCATCACCAGCGTCACGAGGACGGACACCACCGGCGGCAATGGCACGCAAAGCAGGTTCAGGAGCGCCAGAACCACGCCGAGGAAGAGGCCCAGTTCCATGTTGAAGAACGTGTGGAAGCGGTGCAGCACCATTGCGTAGAGCTTCAAGCGCGGCATCGCCACGGGGAGCACGGCCAAGGGCGGTTCCAGGAACGTGGCGTGGGTCATGCAGAAGATCGTCAGCGACACCATCGGCATCGGGCTCAGCGGCAAGGTGAGCGTGACGTGCAGGCGGAGGAATAGGGCTAGCTCCGTGTCGTAGGATTGTTCGTGCGGGCACCGCGGCGCGCGGAGATCCAGCACCATCATGAAGCCCAGCAGGCACACGACGCCGATGGATGAAGTTCGCGACCTCCTGGAGCTCGTCGCTGCCGCAGACGCCCAGCGAGTAGAGCGGGAGCAGCTCGTTCCGCATGTGACGTTGGTGTGCTGGCTCGGCGTGGACGGGATCGCCATCAGCCGAGCGTGCCACCGCGGCGCCAGGGACGAGAATATGAAGACGAAGGACGTGGCGGCATGCTGCTGCGCGTGGGCGAGCGCGACCACGCTGCAGCCCTCGGCAGGTGCGGATGTACGAGGCCGCCAGGGATCGCGTGTGCGGCATGGCGACTGCGCGCAGCAGCGGCAAGAGGCTCAGCAGCCCCAACCATTGCATAGATATGGATGGGCGCTGTCAGACGCGGGCGGCGCTGCGCTCGGCCAGGGGGCCTTGGGCGAAACAGCTGTGGGACCCATTTCGGCCCCAACTCCGAGATCCCACGGAGGGGACGGACTTGAGCCAAAATGGCTACGGAAGAATAAGGAGGGGGAGGAGGAGGATGAGTGGGTTAGAAGAATGAGTGCGTTGGCAGATCCCAGGGCGAGCGCGAGGACTGGTGCCTGCACTGTATGAACTCGCTGGGCGGCAGGGGACGGCAACGAGGAGGAAGAGGAGCGGAAGGGCGACGACGATGACTAGCAACATCGTGGGCGAAAAACATATCCGCATCCGCGGCCTCGCGGGCCGGGTTCCTGGGCCGCGACCCCGCGGATAAGGGCATTCTTTCGCACATGCCCCGCGCGGGAGGAATCCGTACGATCGCATAATTACCTGCGGGATCGCGCCCCCGAGTCCAGACCGCGAGGGCGCGGCTACGAATCTGTTCGCCACTCGTGAAGGACGACGACGAGCAGCAACGAACGGGGGGGCCTCGCCCGGCATCTTCTCCGCCGCGGCGAGGAGGGCCAGGCCGGCCCCCTCCATGAAGCGGGCGGCCTGCAGACGGAAGTGCGGGGGGCAGTCGGCGAACAGCACGGCGGCGCCCGCCTCCGCCTCCGCTCGCGGGTGGCGCCCCCCCCCCCGTTCTCCTTCTTCCTCGCGCAGTCGGGCTCGGTCCAAGGGGGGGGCCAAGGATGCCAGACGCTGCCAGGCCAGACGAGGCGGGCAAGCGTGGAAAGGATGCGACTGGCCACCTCGAGGCCGGAGTGCTCAAGGGTGCCTGGCGCGATCCTGGTTATCCCCTTCACTGAATCTGCGTGTCGATTCTTCGGCATGGTTTGACCACCGCGGGTGGCTTCGAAACGCCGACGGGCATGTTGCCTGTGAGAAATTCGGGGGGGACTTCCTGGCTGGAATTTCGCGGATCGGGTTGGTCGCGGGGAGCCTGGAGACCCTCTGATGGGCCTGGCGCGTCGGGGGCCCCAGGGTCAACTCCTCCTACTCCTCCTCTCGCAATCGTGCCCTGGTTTGTGTAATCTGGGTTTGGCTCGTTCATCCCCCTGCCGCGGCCCGCTCTGCCTTCGATGTTCGGCCTCAGAAATGGATGCAAAACAATGTTTAAGAACAGATCGGGGCGAGATGTCTAGGCACACAATCTGGGACATAATCGTGGAGATGGGACCGAATTTCCCAAAACCGTTTCTTCCACATTGCGGGTTGCAACGGCCGGCCAGAGTGAGGGGGCCGATCGGTCTTGCACGGTCCCTGGGTGCGTGGCTGAAGCGAGGTCCGCGGTGCCAATGCTGGTCCTGTTGTGTCGCCGTCGCCCCCACGACTTGCCCCGAACACACACCTCGCGACCCACTCCGCGACCCACCCACAACCCACCTGCAACCCACGCCCGCGACCCACCCGCGACCCACCCCACGACCCACCCCGCGACCCTCCCGCGACCCACCCGCGACCCACCCGCAACCCACGCCCGCGACCCACGCTCGTGACCCACCCACACTGAATAGAAGAGATTGCCGCCTGCGGCAGGCTGTTTCGGAGAAAAAGCGCCTGCGGGGGGCTTCTCGAGCCCCGCAGCCCTGGCAAGGCAGCCCTGGCGCTCCATAATTCGCATCCACAATTGCGCGGTTAGGTGCCAAGCACGTGGCATCAAGGACTGATTCAAACCCTGCAGGGGATACGTCATCACGATAAGCCCCGCAGACGCGCATAGGAGTGAAGGATTTCTGGATTCGAGAACTGTCGCCCAGCCCGCCGAAAGCGCCGATCTTGTTAAGCACTGCGTTTCCGCGCGCGCACCAAGCCAACGCCACCACTGGGCTGCACAATAATTTGCCCTGGGCCCACCCGATCGCCAGCCTAGCAGGCGTGCTAGAAGAATCTCAGGCACGAGGTCCCCAATGCTTGTAGAATCTACTTCAGGGGGGGCAAAATGATCTGGGTAGGCAGGCCAAGGATGCCCGAACTCCTGGGCGCGGCCTGCAGGACGCCTGCGACGGCCCCGAGACATGCTTCCTAGAGATCCCACAGACCGCCACGAGACAACTCCAAATTGCCACGGAGCCTCCCAAAGATGGCCCAAAGAGGCTCAAGTAATTCAAACCATATGGTTTTCCCGATGCTTTTTTCTTTGCCCTCCCCCGCTGGGCATCTGTGGTCCCCAGGTGGCCCTCAGATCGCCCAAGATGGCAAGTGGAGCCCGTAACGGCTCCAAGATGGCTCCGCAAACACCTAGGCGCCCCTAGCCGCGCAACAGGAGGGCTTAAAAGAGGGCCCACAAACAACCCCAACACGCTCCAATATACTACACATGAAATCCAAGACAGCCGCCGATTAGCCTCCGAGACGTCCCCAAGAGCCTCAAATCAATCAAACACATGATGCTTCCATGCTAGCCAGCGTGGACCCCAAACAATGATTTCTTGCTATATATGCGGCGCAATCTAGGTGGTGCAATCAATGTGGTGCAAATGGTGGCGACGGACGGCGGCGACGGGTGGCGACAGGCGGCGACGAGCCTTCCGAACCGGCACTGGGGCTGCGACGGACGGCCACGACGGGCGGCGATGGGCGGCGACGAGCCGGCTGGACCAGCACTCAAGTTCACTTAACGGCGGCGACGGGCAGCGACGAGCCGGCCGGACCAGCACCAAGGCTCAGTTACCCCAGAACGGAAAAGAACCCCTAAGTGCAAGTACTGTTTGGGGAACATTGTATTTCCCACATGAGTTCGGCCTTCTCGTATTTTTGCGTCCGATGCCCTCCTGAAGCCTCGAGATGACTCCAAGATCGTGCAAGATGGATCCAAGTGGAGCCCAGAACGGCTCCAAGAGGGCTCCGCAGACCCCTAAGAGCACCCACGGAGCGCCCCAAGAGGGCCTCAAGAGTGCCCAAGAGCGGGGATCAATGGATGGCAGGCCCCATGTGGTCCCAGGACAGCCCCCAAAAGCTCCAAAACAACTCTAAGCAGGCCCACGATTGTCCAAGACACCCTTCAATATATCCTCAACAGGCCCCACTAAGTCCTTGAGAGGTCCCTAGAAAGTCTCCCAGAGACTCCGATGAGCCTCACACGATGCTCTGCGTACGAAGAGCTTAACATAACATAAGCGTCTCTATGTTTTCCATCGCTGTTTCCTTCACTTGTGCTTGGGCTTGGATGGTGAAGTTCGGGTTGGGACGCGCTCCGTTGAATGTTGCCTTCAATAGACCTGACGACTACTCATTTCTCCCCCGCGCGATCTGCACCCGACCTGTGGGAAATTAGCACCGCCCAAACATGTGCCAATCGCAGCGAGCATGCAAGAACGTCGCAACGGCAATGCAAGACGGGCATGTGGGCTGGAGGAGCGGGACACCTGCAGAAGCGAAGCAGGAGCACGCGGGTCAGAACCATTTTTGGCTTTGGAGAGCTTGTAAATTTGGAGGCGAATGTGGAATTTGCATGCAAGATGCATGCTGGTAGCGGCCTCGCGCATTCCGCAGGACGCTCTCTGCATCATGAGGGCACACCATGAGGGTTCCCGCGCACATGATGCTCGGATCTCGCACGCCCCTCACGCGCGCCGTTTCCCGTGGCACCTCCTGAGGCGCTCGATGTGGTCCCGAAGACGGCTCAGGGGAGCCTCCATTCGGCACGCCTGTCGCGAATTTCAGGTCTCATGGATCCTCAGGGGCGCTCGACAAGCCAAGACAACTCAAGATATTCTCAAGTTTAGACGGGTAGAAATACGAGATCCTCGCCCCCAGGGGTCCAAAATTCTCCCCCGGGCCTCAGTTCGACACTCCTCTCACGCACTTCGTGCCCCATGGACCTGTAGTGGCACCCAACTAGCCCCCAAGACGGCCCCTGTGCTCCTCAATTCGGCGCACCCATCACGCACTTCGTGCTCAATGGACCTCGAGGGGCGATAATGTTGCCGCTGAACGTATATGTTTTCCACATGTTTCATGATTCCCGATAGCGCCTGTTAGCGGCCCCGCCCTTCCCCCCCTTCTGGTAACGTCACGATTCGTGGCGGCGCCGTCTGGGAATCTGCCATTCCTCAGCATTCCCAGACAGCGATGGCGCGAACCGTGACGTTACCAGCCCCCCTCCCCCCCCTCCCCCCCGCAGTCACGCCCATTATTGCCAAAGATGAAAGGAAGTTGCTAAACTGGCTGAACGGTGCTTGTCTTCGGAACACCCCTGAAGCACCTCGTGCCGCGTGGACCCCCTATGGAGGCCGTCAGCTGGCTCATCAGGACGACTCAAGGGAGACAAATTTCGACGCACCCCTCATTCAGTTCGCTCCCCGTTGACCCCCAGAGGCGCTCAGCTGGCTCCCAAAAGAAGACAAGGCGCTTGGGAAGGCCACGGAGCGTCCTAGATTCCCTCTCCGCTGATTCCCCGGGCCCCGCAAACGATTGCAAGGCGCCCCCCCGCCCGCCATGGATAGCCACGATGGCCCCAAGAGAAAAATGGCAACGAGCGGTGCCCCTCGGCGCCGCCGTTGTGGCGCGGCTGTTGTTTCAGTCAGGAGAACCACAGGGACGTCGACGTGGGAAGTGGTCGGGGGCGTTTCTGGAATTTTAGTGGGAAGAACCCAAACGGTCCCCCGCTCTGAGTTGTTGGCTTTCGCCTTGTTCCTTGAGGGCACCACTGGCCCCGTTCATTATGTCACGGACCACGTTCCCTTGATTGCTGGTTGGGAGCGGGGTCGGGTTAGTACGGTGGGCGGGAGGAATTGGGACTTGTGGCTCCGAGTTAAGACCGCTCTTGCTTCGCGAGGTGAAGGTTTAGTAACCTTGGAGTGGACGGCTTCTCACTTAAACACGGAGGCTGAGGGCTTAACGGCCCGCCAGGTTTTCCTCAGGTCTGGAAATCAACTTGCGGACCGCGCGGCCTCAGAGGCCGCGGAGCGTTCCTGGCACCTTTCGGCCCGCACGGACCCTCGAACGGATTTTTGGGATGCTCAGACCGCCCTGATTAGAAGGAGAGCGCGTCGTGCCCTGATCGACTCGTCAGCGGCCGACCCCAGGAAGGCCCGCCCAGCTGTTGCGCCCTTGGAGAGAGCGAGGCAGGGTTCGAAGTCTTGAATGTAAAGTGCCCTCTCGCAAGGGCATTGAAAATATGGCCAGAATTCGTCGTGGTTTGTACCCGAGTTACGCAGGCCCGTCCAAGGCGAGTGTCCTGCTTCGCCACGCACGGTTTTCTGCCGTGGCCGATCAGCGAGCTCCAGCGCGAGATCCCATCCCATCGGAATTGGCTGTGACTCAGGGAGTAGGGGAGGCTTTGCCTGTTTCGGTGGACGAGGTTCCTCTCGTCCCTCTCCCCGTCGACCCTAGCAGCCCTAGCAGCGAGTCCGATTTAAGGGGGTGCCTTAGGCACATGCGCTCCTGCTTGCTGCTCTCTCCCTCTCTTGCCCTGCCCGCCTCTCGTTGCACGACGTTGCTTGCCAAAACGTTCCAAAACGTTCCGAGTCCAGGGCCAACGGCCGGTAGCCGTGCGGCCACAATACTGACAAAAGTACAAGCAATGCAAATCCCAAAAC